GGGCCTCTGAGAACTTACTGAGGCCCATGGCCAACTCTGCATGGACCTAAAGCAGTGTGGTTGTCTGTGCTTTGCTCTGACTGCCACTGTGCAGCTCCATCCCACAGGCTCTCCTTACATGACTGCAGGCTTCTTCCTTTTTCAATCTGGGTGAGGGCTTTTGATTGCCCAAAGCAGTAGAATCCGGCAATGGATACCATATGACATCAAAGTCTAGGTAAGAAAAAGAATACATCTTGTGCCCGGGTCGATTTTTCAGAGAAGCTCACTCTGCAGAAGCCTACCGTCATGTTGCAAGACCAAACAATCCTGTGCAGAGGCCACAGAGAGGAACTGACGCCCAGTGGGCAGCAGCACCAACCACTGGGCATGTGTCAGTCATCCTTCAGCTGATCCCAAGCTCCAGGCTTCAAGCCTCCCCTGACATCCTGAGGGGCAAAGGAAACTATCCATCCTAATCCTGAACAAGATGCAGACTCATTAGCAGAATAATTTTGTTGCTCTTCATTGAAACCACAACTTGGTTCTTTACAAATTGACCTAAGCCCTCTTGGACATTATTGCCACACCTTTGTGTCCATCCCTTTAACCGTGGCTTCACCATCTTTATCTGATCACTGATGGTTTTGTCTCCACCAGATGCAAGAAATCTCATGTCTAATACCTCTGAGTCTCACAATAAAAGACCTCAATAAACGGTCCAGAAAAAAACAAGGAAATGAAGCGTTCTTACGTGGATCATTATGAGATTTGGGTTTCTGGGGTTCAGAAACATACTACTGGCTGATACAGCATCTCCCACAACCTCAGTTTGCAGCCAGTGGTTTCTGTTTTCAGTTGTGTGGTCCGCACGGAGTCAGAGCTCAGGTGCTTATGTGGTTACTGATAAGTTCTTACTCCATCAGGCTTGAATATTTCAACACACAGCTGTGTCGGGCACTCAAATAGAGCCTACGTGATAAAGGCCACAACACGGGAGAGCCTGGGGTTAGAAAACCAAGGGGAAGCACCAGCAGCTCTGCCCTCGGCCACCTTCCCGAGAAGATGCAGCCACTTCTACTCCTGATGGCCTTTCTTCTGTCCCCCAGGGCAGAGGCAGGTGAGTGAACGTCCCCCTCCAACAGATGCCCAACCCCACTCCACACTGGCACAGCCATGGCCAGATGCTACATACACATCCTGCACTGATCCATCCTCAGGAACTTTCTACCTCTAGGTTCAGCCTCCCTAAAGACCAGCCTATTAGAGCTGAATAAACACTCCACGGGAATGGCAGGGCAGAAGCCTGTTCTCCAGGAGGGTCCACAGGGTACTGTGCCCTTCCCAGGTCCTACCCTTCTCATCTAGAACGTGGGTTCTTTACAAACCCGTCTGGAAGCAGGTTGGATGCTGGGAATGAGGAATAGTTAATTCCCCAGGAAAGGGCAGCTTGGAAAAGGGCTGGCTTCTGTAATGAAAGGAAGGCCCTCTTACGTTCTAACTCAATGTCTTAAAACCTACCCTCAATCTCCTCCTCTTTCTCCAAGATTTGTCATTTCTATGCTACCTAGGAAAGAAACTGAGGACAGAGTTGATCCCAGACTTGGTGGCATCCTTTTCCCCTTAACACTTGTGATTGGCTGGTTCAGTCTCAAGTCCTCTCTGGTCATTTTCTCCGTCACAATGTTCTGAGGATTACAAACCAGCAGCTGCTCAGAGAGTCTGGGAAACAAGAATGGAGAGTGGACCCAGGGAACGTCAGGGAAAGGATTTGCCAGGATGTACAGGGCCTTCGCTGCTTGTTCCAAACACAAATTCTCTCTGCCCACACACGTATCTGCAGCTGCAATTAAGGAATAAAGAACTGCTCTTCTCTTTGTCACAGGGACAATCTGACTCTTTGGGTCACTGGGTAAGCCAGGAACATTGCTTCAGGGACCTGCAGGACCACTTCGTGGTCACTGCTGACTACTAGAGACCCCGCCATCTGCCACCCCACTCCTCCCTGCACTGCTCCAGTTTATCCCAGTCTCCCTTGCTCCAGCCCTTGGCTCCATGAGCACAGCAAGCAGGGTAGAATTTTTCTTTCAGGGGAAATCATCGGGGGCCGTGAGGCTAAGCCTCACTCTCGTCCCTACATGGCATATCTTGGGGACTGTGGTGGTTTCCTTGTGCGTGAAGACTTTGTGCTGACAGCAGCTCATTGCTGGCAAAGGTGAGTAATAGCACCTGGGCCCCCACCTGTCTGTAGACACCACGCAGGGAACCCTCATCTCAGGGGCTGTAGACT